ATGAACAGGAATTCCAGAACACCTAATTGTGCTTATGTGGAACCTGTACATAGACCAAGAGACAGTTGTTCAAACAGAACAAAGAAATATTGCATGGTTTTAAATCAGGGAAGATGTGTGTCATGGTTGTATCCTTTCACCATACTTATTCAATCTGAATGCTGAGCAAATGGTCCAAGAAGCTAGATTAAATGAAGAAGAATTCAGCATCAGGTTAGAGGAAGACTCATTAATAACCTGTGATACGCAGATGACACAACTTTGCTGGCTGAAAGCAAAGAGGACTTAAAGCACTTACTGATGAAGATCAAAGCTTTTAACATGGATTACATATTAACATACCAAAAAAACCAAACTCACTGTGGAGTCAATTTCAACTCATAGCAACCCCTCCTTGGGTTTCCGAGGCAGTATCACTATTGAAGTAGATTGCCTAACCTTCCTTCTGACGAGTGGCTGGTGGGTTTGAACTGCCAGCCTTCTGGTTAGCAGTCAAATAAATGCCTTAGGCACTACACCACCAGAGCTCCCACATATTAACATAGAGATAACAAAAGTTCTCACAACTGGACAAGACCAATAAGCAACACCATGAAAAATGGAAAAAAGACTGAAGTTGTTAAGGAATTAATTTTACTTGGATACTCAATCACCATCCATGCAAACAGCAGTCAAGAAATCAGATGACATATTGCAATGGGCAAATCTGCTGGGGGGGGGGAACTCTTTAAAGGGTTAAAAAGCAAAGTCGTCACTTTGAGGACAAAGGTACACTTGACCCAAGCCATAATATTTTCAACTGCGTCATATGCATGTGAGAGCTGGACAATGAATAAGGAAGTCTAAAGAAGAATTGATGCCTTTGAATTATGGTGTTGGTAAAGAATATTGAATATACCATGGATAGCCAGAAGAATGAACAAATCTTTCTTGGAAGAGGTACAGCTAGAATGTTCCTTAGAAGCAAGGATAGGGAGACTTTGCCTCACATACTTTAGAGATATTATCAAGAGGGACCAGTCCCTGGAGAAGGACATGATGCTTGGTGAAGTAGAGTGTCAATGAAAAAGAGGAAGATCCTCCATGAGATGGATTGAGACAGTGGTTGCAACAACAGGCTCAAGCATAGCAAGGATTGTGAGGACGGCACAGGACTGAGAAATGTTTCTGTTGTACAGAGGGTCATTGTAAGTTGGAGCCAACTCAAGGGCACCTAACAACAACTACTGTATCAAAAGTCAGGAGGTCTCTAGGAATTCAAGTGGGAACCAGGAGGATTTCCCGCCCTTTCCTTCCCTCCCTTGTCATGTCATCAATCACTTTGAATTTCTTTGAGAACGAAGAAAAGAAAAAAAAAAAAAAAGAACAGTACAGAAAGTAAGGAATGAGGAGACTATATGCTCTCAGAAGAAAAGAATAGAATAAAACAAAAAAAGTGAGCACAAACTGAGGAACTATCACAAACTAAGTCTGAGAGACACAGCAAAAAGTCACTCTTTAAGGGAGAGGGAAGTGTAGGAGATCCTTTGCTTTTGATGGAGGGAACTCAAAAGGGTACCCCTCCTTCTTCTCAGCTATTACGCCCAGTTCCAATGCCCTGCCTTGTTCTCTAAACAAAGAGAATGATGGGATAACATTATTCTTTAAAAAAAAAAAAAATCAATGATACATTTGGACCTCCTGGGCCAAATCCTCAGCTTGGGAATGTAGTCAGCAGAACTCCATCTCAAGGAAGAAAATGGAAGAAAGCCAAGCACATTGAGCATGGGATTAAGGATCAGAGACACTAATTTTGCATGAATTGCTCTTGCCATCCCTGGGATGCGTTTTTAATGCAGTAATGATAGCCTCCCAGTGGCCCCTGGCAGTACCTCAACAACTCCAGCCATGGGAGAGAAGGGGGTGTTTTGAACGCCTGTTTCCCAGCAGGCTTGGAGGTGATTAGCACAAGTCACGAGCATGTAGAGGGAGGAGGAAGCCACCATGCAGCCTCTGGCTTATTAAGTGGGAGGTCCAATGCTGGAATCCCCAGGGAAAAAAATCAATGACCCAGGAAAATGACACCAGCTGACAGCTTTAGTAAAAGGCCCAAGGAAGAGTTACAAAGAAGAGAACTTCTTCAGACTAAATCACTTTTCAAAATTCTGCACTGCTAGCTGGGACCCTTGACATTCTGGCATTTTCTTTCAGGTGGGTGGACATCCCAGCCTCACTGAATCCCCTGTTCACAGGGCAAAGGGGTTCTAAGTTCCCTTCAATCCCCCCGAGGTTTCAGTTTTTCATATTTCCCTTGTTTAGAAACACAGATCTCCAACCAGGGATATTGCTGTAAGGCTCAGCAGAGGTGTGGGGATAAGGAGATAAGTCTACTGTTCCTCTATGGATTTCTAGTTTCTGTATACTCTTCCAAGCTCATAAAAACAAACAGGACTGGCTATCCCAGGAAGGCAGGCAGTGGGTTTTGAGGCTGTAGGCAGTTTGGAGTTACTGACCAGGATCCATCGCTTCAATTAAACATTCAACCGAACACTCAGGTGGTTTCATCTTTGGAGCTTAAGACTCTTCTTGTATGCTGCAGTTCACATGGCTAGAGGTCCCTAAAAGTTCATTAAGTTTCAAGTCAAAGTAGTCACCTTTGGGAGATACATCTTTCCTCCCTGAGACTTTTCTGATGTTTTCCCACTTCCACACAAAGTTGAAGTTTAAACTTGAGTATGTCTGTGGTTTGGGAGGACATTACTTCTCTTTAAAAGGACACTTTTAAAAGACTAGGATCAGCTCCCTAGTCTGCAGGTCTCCAGAGAGCCACATTGCTTGGAGGAAAAATGGGGTCTGGTTGTTGATCAACCTGGCAATATCACCACCTACTGCTGGCTTAAGGAGTTTTAAACCCTGAGATTTATTTCTCCACAGAAAGCAGAAGGAATTCCTGTTATCATTTGTGTTATTTCAAAGAACGTGCATCAAAGCATCCATTTCCCTCAGGATATATAGCCTGGCTGGTAGCTCCTCTGGTGGTGCAGTGGTTAGACATTCGGCTGCCAACCAAAAGGTCAGTGATTTGAACCTACCAGCCACTCTGCAAGAGAAAGATGAAGCGGTCTGCTTCTGTAAAGATTTATAGCCTTGGAAATCCCACAGGACAGTTCTACTCTGTCCTATAGGGTCGCTATGTGTTGGAATCCACTTGATGGCAGTGGGTTTTTGGTTTTTGATAGCTCCAGGAATCCCTGAGTGGAGCAAATTGTTAAGTGCTCGCTTGGCTACCAACGGAAAGATTAGCAGTTTCAATCCACCCAGAGGCGCATTGGAAGTAAGATCTAGCAATCTATTTCCAAAAGATCACAGCCATTGAACACCCTGTGGAGCACAGTTCTACTCTGATACACATGGGGTTGCCATGAATTAGAAACGACCCACAGCAATGGATTGTTTTTGTTTTGTTTGTCTTGTTTCTGACAAGCTCCAGTCCCATTTGTAACAGTTGCCACAAACTTGTGTGATAACCTGTAGGATGCTACAAGTATGACAGCTGCTTCACTAAAGAAACAAACTCTAAGTGTCTATAATCTGTGAGAACAAACTAATGGTTGCACCTCAATTGACTTAAAGCAATATTTGTTCATGGAATGATGTCACCAAAAAGGGTTTGTCAGGTTTCAACTCTTTCAATATTCAGGGCAAGAAAGTGACTGAGTTCAGCATTGCTCTCCAAAGCTCAAATCAGCAAATACCAAACTTTTCTTGCAGTCATGAAAATTCTATTAAAATAGAAAGTCAATAGCACTTGAAAAACTCAGTGCATTTTCCTAGCACATTTATCACAACGTTCTGACCTCATGGTGCTTGATTTTAAAGGCTTCAATTTGCTTGCCAAATAGGCATATCTTGGCTTCCTTTGCCATGTGGGAAAACTGCCTTGGTATTAAATATTCAAAGCAAAAGACCTCTGACCTAAGGGCTCTCAGCTAACAATGACATTCTCTGTAAGTAAACTAGAAGCTCAACTTAGCTTCTGGTTTGTCAGTGTTTTCTGCCATGTACTAGTCTACTGTACAAACAGGGCTAAGAAGCAACTCTTTTACCATGATTATACTGTAAAAGGCCCTGCGCTTCAGAGCCCTATGGGACTAGGCAAAGTCTGGACTTGGCAGAAGGTCCCTGGGGGAAGGGAACTTGGGGTTGAAAGCTACTTCTGAGGCTGGCCTGGGTTGGGCTGGGGAAAGGTGAAGGCCTCCAGCCTCTCCAGAGGGAGACCCAGGTCTGTTACAATCAATTGTAAGGACTTCTGTGACCCCAAGCAGTCACAACACTGAAAGAATGCTGCTCTCCAGCCATCATCAACCCAGAAACTTCTTTCACTTCGTATCGCTACACTTGCAACACTATAACTACCTGAGACAGCTGGAGCCTTGGCCTGAATCCCCAAAAGAAAAGCCCCATTATTTTTTTGTTATAGGAGACTGGTACTGGAGAGGAAAGGTTGGTACCCTTTGGCAGTAACGTCATGGTCTCTCTTCTGTAAGCTTCTCCTCTCTCACTGCATCTCTACCAGACCCCGGTCCCCACCAGCATCCCTCCCAGACTGCCGGCGCGTACTTTGAGTCCCTTGGGCACTCTCCTTACATGGCCACCAAGAACGCTGGTCACAGCGCAATCAAGTGCGACTCCTTGGACCACTGCACGTGCTTTTCACAGCGCTGGGCGCGGTGCAGGCTCAGCTCACCGAGCCACCAGCGGACAAGCGTCCGCCAGATCCCGGATGAGGTGCTGGGAAATTGACGAAGTCAATAGCTAGGCGAGAAACTCCAAACATATCACCTACCCTTCTAGGGGACCTCTCCTGCTGCCACCCCGATGCAGCCATCTGCATGCCAAGGGCTCACACAAGGAAAACAAACAACAACAACAACAAAACTGTCTATGAGCGCGTCCCAACTTTAATCCAACCCGGCCGTGCAATCCACCCCGGGGCGCACGGGTAGGGAGGTGGCTCTTACCGGAGAAGTCCGTGAGCGCTGCGATCTCTTTGGAGCAGACCAGGACAGTACAATAGAAGAGGCGCAGGAGCTGTCCGGGGGGCTCTACCTGCCTGCGGAGGCCGGGATGCTGAAGGGGCTGGGACGCAAGAGACCGGCGCTCTTGTCCCCGCAGGAGCATGATGCGGGGTGCTAGAGGATCGCTGAGCCGAGGGCAACGTCACATGGCGGGGCGAGTCTGTCTCCAGTAGCTCCGTGGCCCCACTCCGGCTCCTCGCCCCAGCTGCCGGTGCCTCTCCCCGGCGCCGCCAGCTGGAGCACCCCAGTCAAGGGTAGGGGGCGGAGAACTGGGGCGGGGCGAGGAGTCCCGGGAAGGATTCGCGTAGTTTCCCGAGGAAGAAATCTCCGCCGTAACGGCGCGGGAGGAAGCGAAGGGGGGCAGAAGAGAAAGCGTAGCCTTCGTGCCCCGCGGCTGGCGAGACCGGTCCCCGACGTGCCGCCCACCGCGGAGAGCGCCCCCAACAGCGCGCAGAGGGCAGCGCAACCTGAGCGGCTTTCACGCCTGGGTCCCCGCCCCGGAGACGGCCCTGCACCCCCGGCCCGGCCCGCGCTGGCCTGGCGCCAGCCTCTCCCTGGCCGCTGAAGGAGCGCGGCCGGTGCCCGTGACGCACTTTGGAGCCAGCGCCGCGCGTGCAGCTGGGGCGCCCAGGGAGGGGCGGACGCCGCGGAAAGGTGGGTCCTGGGGGTATGAAGGCCGCCAGCGCACCTTTGGACCCCAGCACTGACATCTCTGCGACCACTCCGTGCTTTCAAGTGCTTCAGTCTGGAGGCGAGACACACACAGTTATCCCCATTTCACAGAAGAGAAGGCTGAGTCCCGGTGCTTTGTCCAAGCTCACGGAGCTAGGACGGAACAGATGGCTCCAGAGCCGGTTTCTTTGAGCTAGGACCGCGCTTCCTTTGGCACTGGTTGACTGCAGCGCGCAGAGGATTTGACCTGGGTGGGGAGTAAACAGCTGCCGAGCGCTAATAATTGGGCTTTGTTTTGAAATGGGCCACAACAACTTTCTGAACCTCTCTATTACACGCGGACCAATGTTTGAACGCCTAGTCCGTGGGCGCGGAACGACCTGTGTGGCTTATTCTACGGCGAATCCAGGGCAAGTCCGTGGGGTTCTGCGGCTGCGTGCCGAGTGCGGGTGCCCGGGGCGGAGCGACCCAAACCAGGAGCACTACGGGGAGTCCCGGCCCGGGCACCACAGGCGGGAGGAAAGAGAGCTGAGCCCGCTGGCGGGCAAGCGCAAGGCACAAAGTGCTCTCGAACACCGCGGGGGAGCTGCCAAGTTCTAGGCGGGCCCGACGCGGAAACGTAAAGAGGCCCAAGGGCGGGACCAGGCGGACTGCCCTTACCGGCCGGCAAGCTCCGGACGCCCTGAGCAAGGCGAGAAGGCCTAAAGAAAGGAAACTGGGACTCGCTGGCTCCGTGTGAAACCCTCCTGGAGAGGGCTGCAAGGATTCCAGAGGGGTGGGTGACATTGGGTCCCGCCGAGTGCTCCAGCAAGGACTGCCTGGGCAGAAAAGGGAGTCCTTGTCCTTCTTCCTCCATCTGGAGGTGGGTTGGCAAGTGATAAACATCACTTATTTGTTGTGGGGGAGTAGTCTGCCAAGCACAATTATTTAAAAACTTACATTAAAATAAGAACTCAAACTTTTCAATAATCTCTGACATAGGTATTCACTCACTCACTCACTCACTGCCATCCAGTTGATTCCCACCGACCCTCTTTGACTTTCCAAGGCGGTAAATCTTTACTGGAAGTAGGTTGCCTAGTCTTCCTTCCTTGGAGTGGCTGGTGGGTTTGAACAACCAACCTTCTGGTTAGCAGTCAAATGCCTTAGCTACTACACCACTTGACATAGATAGGTATTAGTGTACTCTTTCTAGGTTGGGGAAACTGAAGCTTGGAGGGATAGGTAAGAATGCCTAGCACTTAGGAGGCACTCAAAAAAAAATGTTTATTCAACCCTATGGTTGGGTAATCCTACTTCTGTAGTGATACCGCCTGGGAAACCCAAGGAGGGGTCGCTGTGAGTCGGGCCGACTCAACGGCACATAACAACAACAACAACATAGAAACTCAGAAGAAAGAAAAGTGGGGAAGGAAGTGCCAGCTTCAAAGAAGGGGAACGCTTATGAAATTAATCTGGGGCAAGAAGAGGGGTCATCTTTTCCCCGAAGGCAGTGGAAATGATATTTCTCCTATTTCTTTATCCTATGATAGAATTTGAACAATAAAAAGCAGTCATAAACTAAAAACAAACAAACCCATTGCCATAGTTGATTCTGATTCATAGTGACCCCCATTGGGTTTCTAAATCTTTATGGAAGTAGATTGCTTCATCTTCCTCCTGCAGAGCAGCTGGTGGATTTGAACCACCAACTTTCTGGTTAGCAGGCAAATGCCTTACCCACTATGCCACCATAACTCCTTAAAAAGCAGTCATAACCACTGGGTTATTCAGCAACATGACAGTAGTTGAAATCAAAGTGAATCCAGTCTGTGAGGGATGGGACAAGTAATAAAATGTTCCCAAAATATTAATATTCATAACAACCTTTAGAGATAGGTACTAACCAGAACTGGCTACCTAATTTATTGATAAGTACAAAGTGAAAATATGGTTGTTGTTTTTTTTTTAAAAAATATTACAAGTTTCAATATACTCCTCAGAAGGAAGGTTGGGCAATCGACTTCCATAGAGATACTGCCTCAGAAACCCAAGGAGGGGTCGCTATGAGTCGGAATCAACTCGAAGGCAGTGAGCTTGTTTTATTTCTTTTCTAAGTGTACAATTTAGTGGCACTGATTATGCTCAGAATGTAGTAAAACCATCATCATCTATTTCCAAAACTGTTTCATTACCTCAAGCAGAAACTCTGTACCCACTGAATAATAACTCCCCATTCTCCAAACTTCTGGCCACCTCTAATCTACTTTTCTTTTTTTTTCAAATTGTGATTTGGGTGAAGATTTTCAGAGAAAATTCACTTTCCA